TCTAAATCTACCCTCTTTCAGCTTAAAGCCATTACCCCTTGTCCTATCACCACATGCCCTTGTAAAAAGTCACCCTCCAGCTTTCTTGTAGGCCCCCTTCAGATACTGGAAGGCTGCTACAAGGTCTCCCCGGAGCCTTCTCTTCTCCAGGCTGAACAGCCCCAACTCTCTTAGCCTTTCTTCATAGAAGAGGTGCTCCAGCCCTCTGATCATCTTTGTGGCCCTCCTCTGGACTCGTTCCAACAGGTCCATGTCCTTCTTATGTTGGGGGCCCCAGAGCTGGACACAGTACTCCAGGTGGGGTCTCACGAGAGCAGAGTAGAGGGGGAGAATCCCCTCCCTCGACCTGCTGGTCATGCTTCTTTCACCACCAAGGCTTGCCAAAACTACAACAGGTGTGGTGCTGCTCACCTGCACTGTGCAAAACCTCTGAAGTCACCTCTCAGAAAGCATTTAAGTAACCTCTCTGCTTGCCTACCCTGCAACACCAGCCTCCTGTACCTGCTGATGTGAGTCCAGCCTCTGTGTCTAGAACAGTCTCACCACTGGAAATGTCCAGCATCAGGCTGCTCTTGGCGTACTCTTTATATGCCACTCCAGCCACAAAAAAAAGTAAGATCCCCTATATCTGCCATTGATAGCCAGGTGGCTTTCTCTGCTACCGAGCTATCTGCCAACAGAGCTATAGCACAGCTCCAGGCAGAGGGGAAGCCACTCGGGGACTATGACAGTATGCCAAATCGGGCATAGTGCTATATGGCTCCTCTGAATTATGAAGTTTCATTCCCTGCTACAACAGGCAACTTGCACAAAAATAGCATCTCCCTGAGTGCCTGGCACCTCATCTGCTCTACACAGTAATACTAAAACCAGGAGTTGTCCTTGGCATGCTCTGTCACCACCTTCTGTCCCAGGAGGACCGAGGACAAGCTGCCCATCAAGAAGGTGTTTGTGCTCAGAGCTAGTGTTCTTCTGCTTACATGATGGATAACTTGCTTCACTAACTTGCCTTGCCCAGGAATGGCTCTGGCTAAAATAAATCTCAGTGACACTTCATATGCTCAAAACAGAAGACTAAGGGAATGAACCCAGAAAGCTGAGATGTTTGTTTAGGATAGCTTAACAGTCTGTTTTGTTGAAAGACACTGATCACTAGTACTTCAACTCAATAGGAGATGGCAAACACACTGAAAGAAGGCAATTATTTGTGCTTCTCTGAAAGAAAACTTCTTACAGCAATCCCTGCTAAGGAGAACTTTTGCTTCCAAAGAATAACAATAAAAGGCAACCATTAATTTTCATATTAAATTAAACAAATGACTTTGTTCCAGGTGTAGTTGTGATTTGCCTCTCTCAGTGGATGAGCTGGGAGTGCTTGGGACAAAGTGCTGAAGTTCCCAGCGGGCTAGCTTTTGGGTTAAATTTATCAACTGGTTTGTAAGTTCTCAAGAACCACTCAAAGCACAAATGCGAAAATGCTGAAGACATGGTGCATTTTTCACATAAAACGAAAGCTTTTGGAATGAAATTGTGCCTTTTAGTATAGGGCCACAGCTGGCATCAGCATAATGAGGGAATTGAATTCTTGACCCATTGAGAGAGCACCAGTCCTGTTACAAGGACAGGTACATTCCCACACGCTAAACCGTTTCAGCAAGCTTTGCCCCATATTCATACTCACACTGCCTTTCCGGTGCTTACCTCTCAATTTCTGGCAGTGCTTTAAAAAGCAGTAATTTATGGAAGATTTCAAAGACCTTCAGAAGTTTCACGGAGAGTGTGGGAGAAGAGTTTTAGTTCCCAACATCCCCATGGAGGTTTCCAAAAGCATTTGAAGGCATTTATCATTCTGTTTCAGAAATGCGAGAAACGTTTCTGTAGAGAAGACTTGAGAACACAATCCATGTGGGCTGAAGAGAGGTGCTGGGGGACACTCTAAATCTATTTGTCACTGAAAGCAGCAGGTACCATCGTGACTGCTGTGACACATGTACCCCCACCAGAAGCCATTCCAGCACCGAATGGTTTTCATAACCTGGAGTGCTGCTTTTATGTCTGGACCACAACCTCGCATTGATGGGACTGAGATACAGACTGTATGAACAGCAGACACTACAGAATTACAGTGCCTCTCCAAGAAGCAGATATCCACAAACCACCAGGATAAAAGCCCAGAGACCAAAAAAGCATTGCAGGACAAAGAGAAAGTATGGTGAAATGAGGAAACCTGCAGAACACAGGACAGATGTAAAACTATGTGGGAGATGTGCTGTGACAGTTACAGAACAGGATTCCCAAACACCACTGCAACTGCTAGTGGAAGCAGTTAGGTGTTTGTTTTCTTCCTCCTTTCCCCTTCCAGATGGCTTATGTTTCCACTGAGCAGCAGCCTGGAGTCTAATGGGAGGTAGGCTCCTGCTCAGATATACAGACTATGCAGACAGTCTGCAGGATTTTGAAAGCTGTGATCTTTATATGAGGTGACTGAGGAGAGAACTCCTCCTATCAATAACACTAGCATCAATCACAACAACTAAGAGCGATCATGTCTGCCAATGGCCTTTCTGTACAACACACCCAGAACCAAGTTAGCGTTGATTGAGCGCAGTGCAAAGAACTATCAGCTTACAGCCGGAAACGCAAACTGTTAACCAAACCAGTGCTGTTAGCAGATGACAACTTGTGCATTCTCCACTAGCCATCATGGGATTGGGAAAGACAAACTTTTAAAAATGCTATCTTCAGCTTTTACAGAATTTCTTATGTATTAAACTAATATTG